CCGTTTCATAATGTTAGGGTCTGTTCTCTTACGTTGAAATTCAGTTCAGCTCCTAATTTCCTTCTCTTATAAGATATTCATTTCATTTCAGTTCAGCTCAACTCCTAATTTCCTTCTCTTATAAAATATTCAGTTCAGTTCAGCTTAATTCAGTTCAGTTCAGTTCAGCTGAGTTCAGTCAATGAGAACAGGCCCTTAGTCCCATATATTATTTTGGGCGTTTCAAAAAGATCTACCCATATTGAATATATTTCATTTATAACTTGATTTTTTTGGAATTAATTGATTGTGGATTTATGACATGACTCTAAGTAAGGAAGTTTTTATCTTAAATTATGCAATTATGACTTGTGCTTTTCTAATAAAAAAATAAAAAAGTTAAATAAGGTAAACTAATTATGAATTATGTTGTATTTTAATGTTAGATTCCAAATATATTTGTTTTCTTATTTTATGTAATTGATTCTATATGGGACTAACATTATGAAACGGAGGGAGTATTGGATAACCGCAATTTCTATTATGCTCCCGGAGTACCGTGAGCATGGTACTCCGGATTAATTATATTAAAATTTAAAAAATAGAAAAGGGGAAAAAGGAGAGTGCGTGCGATAGAAATTAGAGGAAATCGGAGCAAGAAACTTAAAAATCATATTTCAATATAACTAATGATGGCTAATTGAAAATTATGTTGAAATTCTGGAAAAAAAAATGTAAACACGAGATAGCTAGATTGTGATGAAGAAATCTGAAAGAAGCGGTGAAACAGTAAAATAAAGCAAACAAAAATTTGACAAATTAAAATAACTTAAGTTTTAAACAAAATAATACAATCTTTAAGTAAAATAACACAATTTTTCAAAAAAAAAAATGATGTTCACACAATATAACTAACTGATTTATATATATATATATATATATATATATATATATATATATATATATATATATATAGGAAGGCTCATGTAAGAACCCTCCTCTATATAAGAACCAATCTCAGCCCTTTATTAGTTTTGATCTAACCATCTAAAATGATCCTTTAGTAATGACAATTCTGTAATTTTGAGAATTTTGTATTTAGAACATAGAAAAAATTTAGAACATAGAAAAAATAATTTAGAACATAAGGTGAAAAAATTTAGAACATAAGCAGAAAATTTTAGAACATAAGAAAAATAATTTAGAAGATAGCAAAAAGTTAGAACATAAGCATCCAAAAAAGTTAGATCATAAGAAAAATAATTTAGAACATAAGTTGAAAAAAATAATAAAAGCATAGGTAAAAATTAATAACATAATTTGAAAAAATAATATAGAACATAGAAAAAAATTTAGAACATAAGCTGAAAAAATAATTTAGAACATAGGAACAAATTTAGAACATAATCTAAAAAACAATTTATAACATTAAAAATAATTTGGAACATAAGTAGAAAAAATTTAGAATATAGGAAAAACTTTAGAACATAAACTGAAAAAAAAATTTAGAACATAGAAATTTTTTTTTGAACATAAGCTGAAAAATATAATTTAGAACATATGAACAAATTTAGAACATAATCTAAAATACAATTTAGAACATTGGAAAAAATTTGGAACATAAGTAGAAAAAAATTTAGAAGATAAGTAGAAAAAAATTTAGAACATAGGAAAAAGTTTAGAACATAAGAAAGGATTCTTACATAAGAAAGGGTTCTTATATAAGGAAGGGTTCTTACCGGATCCCTCCCCTATATATATATATATATATATATATATATATATATATATATATATATATATATAGCAAAAAAAAAAAAATATATATATATATATATATATATATAGCAAAAATAACATTATATGTGAGCAAAATAACAGAAGGTATATATAATCTAAAATAACACCATATTTAAACAAAATAACAAAGGAAATATATATCACTATTTTTAAGCGTAATAACATTAAATCATATAAAGAATAATAGTAGGTTTTATACTAAATAGCACACCATAACAATAAAAACAACACGATCATAGTAACATAATACAAACTAGATGAAGCCCATGCGATGCACGGTTTGTTTGATTTTTTTTTTTTTGTATTTATTAGCTAAAATTTGTTATATATTTAGATAAAATTCCTAATATTAAAAGATAATATTTTAAATTTAATTAATTTAAATTTAAAAATCTCATTCGCCAATTTTGCTTACGTGGAATTTGAATTATTTAATTATAAAAGAAATTAATAATCTCTTATTTAATTGGCTACTACTAAGATTTATAATCCTACGTGGCGCACTAAGAAAATTAGATCCTACGTGGCGCTCTAAAATCTCGGGAAAAAACTCCCCTTTATATATATATATATTAGATTTTATTAAAATAAAAAATCCAAAGTAGTTTCTGTAAGATAGCACATGGTTTTAACAAAAAAACACAAGGTGTAAGCAAAAATAACATTATATTTGAGAAAAATAACATAAGGTATAATCTAAGCTCAACAAGAGCAGATTCAGTACCACTACTTTAACAGTATATTTGAGCAAATTAAATGCAACAATTCCAAAATTTAACAAAAATTAAACCCTAATTAACTCTCTTAACAAAATAATTTAGCTGGTTAATTTTGGGCATGCTTGAGGAGAAATTTTATCTTAGAAGGATGCAATAGAAGAATTTTCAACTATTTCAAATGGTAAAATACAGAGAGAAAAAAGAAGAGTGAATTTCGTCCTCTTGTTTTTGCAATTGAAGAATTGATCTGTTCTTCGTCCCTTTATATATATATATATATATTATTACATTCTGCTGAGCGCACTTTCTTAAGTTAAGTTTCTAGCCCATTAATTAGAGCACTCTCAATGGTGAGAGTTTTTTTAGCTCATGAACATTTTTTGTGAGGAAAAAAAATGCTCACAACTCACAATGGTGAGTAAAATGAAAAATAGGTAAAAATGCTCATGAGCATTTATTAAAAAGCTCAAAAGTTGAGCATTTTTTGCCATGAACAGTGTTGCAAGTGGGCCCCACACGCGTCAGAAAAATAAAAATAAAAGCTGACTCTAACATCAAAACGACGCGTTTTGATGAAGCTGCCTCAAAGGCGCGCCTCAAAACGCGTCGTTTTGAGTATCAGAAAAAAAAAAAAAAAAAAAAGGGAAGCTGACGCGTGCAGTTCGCTGGCGAATGAGGACGCGACACGTGGCAGCTGGCAGCAAGACAACCAATCAGAAAATACTAGCCGTTTTACAACGGTTATTTATGTATTTCCCATTTTCAGAAAAATATATTTTGTAAAAAAAAATAAAAAAATTACCAATGGTCATAAAATTAAATTCTCTATAAATAGACATGCATTTTGATATATTTTGATACAATTTCAAAAACACCTTAAAATCCTCCAAATTTTAATTTTCTTAAAAGTATTTTAATTTTGTAGAAGAATATTGCTATTGCAATTCATCCATATTGAGGTAAAAAAAAATTATTTAATTTTTAAAATCAGTTAAATATAAGTTGTTGATATTTTTTTGGATTTGTTATCATTTTAATTTGTTTTTTGAGTAAATGTTTGTAACGATATTGATCTTTTGTTTTTTGGTGCAGAATATTTTAATGGATCCAAACAACCCAAATTTCCGTCAACAACTTTCGGGTTTTAGTGATGATTTCCTAACTAATCCCGAGTGGATTTCCAGGCATGATAGGCAGCATTGATTGCATGCATTGGGAATGGAAGAACTGTCCAACGGCATGGAAAGCGCAGTACGCCGGTAGGAACAAGAAAGCAACGCTAATACTGGAAGCCGTTGCAGATCAGGATTTATGGATATGGCATTCCTTCTTTGGGATTCCTGGATCTTGTAATGACCTAAATGTCTTATACCGTTCCCCAGTGTTCGATGAGGTTCTGCATGGTCGAGCTCCTCCGGTAAATTTTACCGTTAACGGCCATGAATACAACATGGCATATTACTTAGCCGACGGTATTTATCCGAAGTGGGCAACTTTTGTTCAGGGTATCACAACCCCTCAACTTCAAAAAGATAAATTGTTCGCTGACCACCAGGCTGTTGCTCGAAAAGACGTTGAAAGAGCATTCGGTGTTTTGCAAGCTCGATTTGCAATAATACGAAAACCGTCACTAGCGTACGATGAGGACATACTGCGAGACATAATGAAAGCATGTATCATTATGCACAACATGATTGTTGAAGATGAGCGCCACAACTACACTCGAGCCGAAGTTCTAAGAGCCTTCTACGAAGAAGATCAACAAGAATCAACACCAGCATCAACATCTACAACGCCACCGTTTGAATTCAACGTAGGCCGACCTACCAACTTTGACTTCAACGCATTTCTACAGCGAAAAGCTTCCCTCCGTGACAGAGAAATTCATCTATCTCTGAAACGTGATTTAGTCGAACATATTTGGCAACGATACGGGCCCCGTAATTAGGGAGAAATTAGATGATGTAGTTGTTGTGTTTTTTTTATTTCCTAAGTTTAATTGCGCATGACGTTGCAAATTAATTGTTCTCTAATATTGTACCGCTTTTAAAATAAATAAAAAATTATGAGCTTTTTTTTACAATTATTTATAATAACATAAATAATTTTACGATAAATTTTAACGATAAAAAAGAAAAAAATAAAAAAAATAAGTTACACATAATTAAACTAGTTTTTATTTATTTGGAGTAATGTTAAAATATAAATGAAATAAATAAATAAAGAAGTGTTGTGTAGGAGAGAGAAAGTTATGGTGGGGTATTGAAAAAGTAAGAGAGAGATAGTGGTGGGTGAACATTTTTTTTTGCTCACCATTGGGAGAGGAAATATGAAAAAAAAATTTGCCCATGAGCAAAATTGATTTGTTGAGAGAGAAAGTGGGTAGAGAGAGAGTGGGTGAGCATTTTTTTTGCTCACCATTGAGAGTGGTCTTAGATTGGGCCTGGAGTACAATACTAGATACTCCAGGATTACCTAATACCAATTGTTAGATAACAAGAACAAAAACCCCAATCCAAAAACCCCAACTAAACTGAAGGTTCTCGGAAACAACCACCTACTACCTCTGAAGGTTCTCGGAAACAACCATCTACTACCTCTGAAGGTTCTCGGAAACAACCCGAAGTTTCCATCGCTGCTCAACCAGAACCAGAACCATCAAAACCGCCACTCCCGTAAGTCACTGTGGTTTTTTTTTTTTGGTTGCAAAATCACTTGTTCTTGAGGTTTTCAGATACATTTGTATTTTTTTTTCCAGTAAAATTTCTTATCATGAAATGCCTTCTAATCACAAGAAGAAGTTCTTCATTAATGACGATGTAGGTGGTAGTGTTAGGAAATACATTGGAATGGTAAGTTGGTTGAGGGTGATGGGATGTTTTGAGGGTAGTGTCTTTGAGGTTATTCCAAATCTGAAATGGGGTGGAGAAAGTTACCCACTTGTTGAAGTTGAAGTGGTAACACCGGAAAACAAGTCTGCAAAATTTCTTATTGCCAAGTCGTCTTTATATGTAATTGGCTGTGTGCTGCGTTTGCTGAGCTTTCAGTTTAGTTGTGAGTTTTAAATTGATTCGTTCGTCATGCTACAAGATTATGATGGGAGTTATAGAACAAAACCTTGGAAAAAGATTGGTCCAAAATCCATGATTGATGCTATCAATTTGCTTCATGAGGCTGATGCCAATGATTTAGCCAATGTGTCAGTTTATGTTGATGCGGTTGAGATTTTTTATGTTCATATATGTGAAGCTGCAAGGCTATATGTTATTGAATCATTTGTTTGCACAAGTCTGAAACCTTCTGGTGTTGGAAACTTTACCCAACGGATTTATGAAGATGAAGAGAGTTTTATTCTCCCTGGTGATAAGAATCAAACTATTGAAAGTGAATTCGATGTTTACTCTTTAGTGAAGGGAGATGGACCTATTGATTTCGAGCTTTCGATTAATCCTCCCAATTATATTGAGTTTTTCATTAAAAAATTCAAACTACTAAGCAAAGTATGGCTTACATATTCATTGAGTGGAAGGAGGATTTTTGAGATGAAACCAGAAGATGTTTCTAAGCTTCATTTACGCTCTAAGAAGAGCCTGAGGTCTTGTTTAGCTGTTTTGTGCAACACCAACCTGGACAAGATTTTGTCTGAATGGCAAAAAAAGAGCAAAAATAACCATGCAACTGTGACTCCTGCTGTGTTTGAAGAAATGGTAAGGCTTGTTCGTGAGCTTCAAAAACAAAAGAAAGTTTTGTTGTAAGGGAAATGTTCTAAGTTTAGGAAAGGTACCATGTAGCTACGTAAATAATGTCCTGCAATTAAAATTTTTGAATGGGGTCTTCTGTGTAACTGTTTACAGTTCAGGATCTTCTAGCATCCATGAATTTGAGCCACCTTATCCAGGATTCTCTAAAGAAGAATGCTGAAGGTTCTAGGACTCTCACAGTTGGACACAACCTTTGAGTTTTGACCATTTAGGAAAGGCAAAGGGCGGATAACTGTTGCTGAAATTAGCATTCCAGATCTTGGAAAAGAATGGAAGAATGGGATTGTTCAGTCAGCTCAACGGGGGACTGAAGCCAGGTAAAGAAAAATCTCTTCATCATTTGGACGAAAGCAACCAAAGTCATCATTCAGCATACGGAGTTCCAAGCTGTCGAGCCAAGAAGAAATCTGGACTCCGTCTTACATAGGAACAACTACAGATTTTCAATGTATTGATGATTTAAGATCACTGCAAACAAGCTTATTTGTTTCTTGGTAGTTGGTATTGTTCTTGTAAAGTTTCTTTTTAGCCAATACTTTTTTATATTTGTTATTGTTAACTTGAATTAGCTACATTATTATAATATATATGGCTTCTGGGATTTGTTGAATTCAAGCGTTTGTGATTTTATAGCAAAAGTTTTGCTACTCCGTACATTTTAAAATTTAAAACTATTCGTAATGCTTGTGAAATTGAATTTAAGAAACTGCATCATTATTAACAAGGAGCCAAGGAGTGATATTGTGCAAAGCAATGTTGGTCTTGTGCGGAATTCAGAGTGATGCTATCTATCTCCTCTACTGAACCACTTTTGTGGGAGGAGCTATACTAGAGATTTCACTTATATTATTAAAAATAGAGAATAGTATACCCCAAATGAATAGTGAATTTTTGGATCTATCTTCCTCATTTGTTTGACACAGGGCTGCTTTATCAAAAATTGGGTGTGCCGGTTCCTTTTCCAGATTTTTTACCTTTCATTTTGCTTTAGATCAGTACAAATTGGAGAAGATCAATCTGATTAGGGACAAGAGATTTCCCTCTTGTGAAGCTGGTTGTTTAAGAATTATAGAGAGGTTTCAAATCTTTCAATGCTGAAATTTGGAAAATTTTCAATGAAGTTGTGTGATATATTTGCTGATATTTTTAATTTTGGTTTCATTTGCAATTGGTGGTGTCACAATTGTTTAACAAGAAGCTAATGATTACAATTTGTGGCCTACAGCGAAGTTTTCTTCAATTCAGGTTTGTTCAACAAGAAGATAAAGATTACAGTAATGATCGCTGATGAGAAATTCATCTCCTTAGATGTATGTCAACCCTGAGTAAACTGTAACTTAACTTTCTTCTCTTAAACCCTAATTTTTGCGTTAAATTTCAATTTTCCAATTCAATTTCTAATGATCTTAATTGAACTTCTCAGGTCGAAAATGTCAAGGCTTTGCTTGAAGTCGAGGTACAATTACAACCACTAATCTATCTTTGTTGATTTGATCAAATTGAATTGTAGTAATTGGTTTAGATTTGGGGGAGCAGAGTGGGGTGGTGTTGTAGCAGCAACAATTGATGTACAATGACAAGGAGATGAATAATCATGACAAACTCAGTGTACTCGGTGTTTGCGATGGCGATTTGATCATGATGCTTTCTAATGCTGCTCCGCCTTCTCGGTAATTTTTCATATTATTGTTTATGCCAGTGCTGCTTTTACAAGTACTTTTTTGATGCTTTGAAAATGACGCAAATTGCAAATTAGGCTTTAGTTATAAGCGTCAATTAGGACCGGAAATTCTACTTTTGTGTTTTGGCATTTTAAGTTTTTACTCATCCCCTTGATTAATTTGAGTTAGTGATCTTGTAGGATCTGGATATAATAATACAAATCAATTACATGTGTTTTTATACTGTTCAATTACTTTTTATTTGGTACGCAATTGGAACAAGAGCACAACTCTTGTAATTGGCTTTGTGTTGTTATTGTGTTTGTATAGAGTTGTGCCCAATTAATTCCCTAAATAAATGATTTTGTTTATCTGGGGGTATAATTGTCTTTTCAAGTACCAAAGGAGGGTTTCATGCTTCTTTTTATGTACTAGTTGAGGGGTACATGTGTAATTTTCTAAATTGGACACCTCACCAAAAGTACTGAATAAATGACCACATTTTTTTAATATATTTACAGAAATGTCACCTGATTAACAAAAATTCGTTTATCCGGCAGATAAACTTGTATTTGTCGGTTTATACATGTGTAGGAGAGATATTAGATGATTGATTAATGAAAATGTCAATGTCGCAGATGTCTAAGCTTAGCTATTCTAATCATGGATGATAACAGGTATAATGTGGGATAGGTTTTTGTCTTCAGCCAATCACCCAGCTTGATGAATCCTCCTAAGGACACGGTTGTTACAAAGATAATACTATCCAAGTCTTCTGCTAAAGAGTCAAAATAATACTATCCAAGTCTTTTGCTGAAGAGCCAAATCATCAATAACTATATACTAAAAGAGAGACTAGGAGTGCCATATGTCATCTTTTGGTTAAAAATTTTCCCTCCAAAATGTATTACTAGTATTTATTTTTTTGTCAAATCTTCTTAAACAATCTTCCATTTTCAGAATGAGCCCCTTTTAGACTTTAATATGTTCCTTTTCTTTGCAAGAAGCTCAAATCATGACGAATGTCCATGGAGGTAAAACAATAGCTGCTTTGCCAATATGCATTAAACTGCATCTGGAATTTGATTTGAATTGATCAATTTGTCCTTTTGTGTACTTTATTTTTTATTTTTTTACTTTCAAGCATAGGATATAGGTGTATGTCTATTTTTATTTAGTGGAGTCCGTTTGAAAAATATTTGGATTTTAAAGGATTGTTCAAAGTTCATGAATTCTATCAAGTAGAATGATTAAGTCTTGGGTGAGACCGTTTCAAACTAATTTATTGTGAGACATGTAAGTCATGGGGGAATAAATTTTCATAAATTGTTTAGAGTTGCTCACTCAGTGTTTGGGGGGAGGCCCAACAATTCTTCATAGTTATGTCAACGATCAACATTCGATGAACAACAGATCTACTCATTCACTGCCCAGAATAAAATAATTTTTTTTTTAAGATCTTGAAACTTCAATTGTTTTAATGGAACAAAGGAGATGCATAATAATCAGTCACCTTGGATCCGTATTACATTAATGTTTGTCTAGTAGTAAGGGATGCCACAAAATTCTTACATATACATTTTCCTAGGCTTAGTGGTCTTGAATTCAAGAAAGGGTTTTTGATTTATTTTATTTTATAAATTTTCACTTATTTTGGACATTTTGGTGTGTATGTCCATGTCAAGTTTTTAGCCTTAACAATGCGGTTGCATCAGAAAAAGGGGGGCATAATGTTATTTAAATTACTTTCTAACTTTTGCTCATAGTCACTAAAGTATTGGACATTTGGACCTATTGGTATATGCTGTGTGTTTAAATCTTTGATGCATTTATTGAGTAGATGAAATATCTTAAACAAGAAAAAGGTTAATAATTCTTGAACAGAATTATTATCTAGAGGTCTTCTCATTAAGTTTGTTCGTGCTGTAGCATGTTGAGGTTGTTGCTCCTGATCCAAAGGCTGATGAAGTATTGGTTAGGATTGAGGCAGCAACTGATCAATCCAAAGGCTGACAAGGTATTGATTAAGATTGAGGCAGTAACTCTGAATCCGATTGATTGGAAGATACAGAACAGTATTCTTCGGCCTACAAGTTCCCCACAATACCAGGTATGTCATACACTCATTCTGGCGATACTGCTGTAGTATTTTTACACTAGGGGTTTACCTAACTCTCCGCTCCACCGGTCCATAAAATTCAAAAAGAAATTTGCAGGGCTTTGTTTTCGCTTGACCTATATGAGTAGTGGTTTTGTTATACACCCTCTGCCCCCACTCTTTTCCATGAGAAAGCTGTGGATGGTGGTAACCAGTGGCAGCTCTGGAGAATTGTGTTGCAAATCTCAATGTCTGAAGCAGATCAATGCCGTTTTGTATAGGATGCTGGTGATGATGTTGTATAAGTGTCTTATAATATTTCATATATGCTGAAGATTTAACTCTCTTTATATTGTTTTTTTTTTTATTTTTTTTTATTTTTTTTTTTAATGTTGTAATATTCATATTTTGAATTGGTTTCAGGGTGTATGTCAAGTTTAGAATTTGCTATATCATTATAATTCTTCTGGAAGTGTCGTGGCTGCACCCATTTTCCTTAAAAACCTTTTCTTGTTTGATTAGAGGGTGTTTATTTCTTGTGATTATTTGGTTCTATGAATTTGTTAATTGCTTGTACTTGTTATTGGACCTGATGTGTAGGTGGTGGTTTGCTTATATAGACTGCTTATTGTTTTAAGCTATGTGGGTTTATGAAGTTCTCTTTTGCATGAGTATGGAGTTAATTTCGATTACAGTTTGTCTCTGAAAGACTATCTCATTATACCTGCTGATTTGTGTTTAAGATTTGTAATTAATTAAAATTGCTGAAGGTTGTTAGTATTGATATCATTATTTTTGGTGACTCAGGAAGCAGCTTGGTCATTTTGTCTGCAGGTTTTGTGCTCTGCCTTTTATCACCTTGCCTTTTTACATGGTAAGCTTTTGTGGTTCTGACTATTTATGTGTTTTTGTTTGTGTTTAGAGCTTTCATTGTTCAGGAAGGTTACATATTGTTGGTTCTCTTTTGGGTTGTCATATCTACGAGCAGGTGGTGTGCTTAAAGCCTTTTACTTTGTTGTCTTCGATGGGGTTGCTTTTGGGGTTTGATTGAAATCTGCAGTTGAGGGATTATCTTCAGTAATATGCTATGTGCTAGAGTATTGATAATTGGTGCTAATGGGTTTGTATGTTAATTGTTTAAGGACTTGGATTTATCAGGGTTATATTCTTATTCATAGTTCTCTATAATTCTGCTGAAATTTCGGATAGTGGTTATCTATGTAAGAGCACCCTTTACTTACTATACTACCTAGGCATTATATTGTTAGAGGAAGGCTTATAAGACCAGTGTCCTAGTATAGTCAAAGGATTTGATTAGCAGTAAATCAGAGATGTTTTTGTTCATTGATGATCTTTGCCTCTCTTCTTGGTATTCATTTTATGTTGCTTTTGTTTGTCTTTTTATATAAGAATCTAGAAACAATAGTCAAGGAAAAACAATATAATCAGGTCACTAATTGTGGCTGCCAATGTTTATGAATCTGTCTATTTGATCTACCTTCTGCAATTTGTTTTAATTTTTTTTTTTTTTTTTGCATTTATACAATTGTTTCCTCTTTTACTCTTTACATTATTATGTTTGTTTTGCAGGCTAAATTACTGATTAATCTGGCAAACAAAACTTTTCTTACAGCACTGACAAGCTGCTTTGTATTCCGAAGAGCATTCAAAGCCCCTTCTGATATTTAATCTTCAATGGAGGAGGTAAGTGGTGACTGGATGAGATCTATATTGACACTTTGTATGGTAGATTGGCATCAGGATTATCCTTTGACTCTCTTATTCTTTGTTGACCTCTTATATTGCTGAGATAACTAACTGTTGTAAGCTATTTTTAGACAAGTTTAACTTTTTATTGATTAATAGAAATGTTTGATGATCTGTTTACCTGTTTGTTAATAACCCAAGCTAACTTTTGCCCTGGGTTGATGCAGCTTTCATCGACATTGATACCAGTAGCATTCATGCTTTAGACGAGTTGTACAAAGTCTACAGAAAAGAAATGTTCAGGTAAAAACTCTTTTTCCAAGAGTTAAGATTACTGAGAGGTTGTTTAAATGTGTTAAGAGTTTAAGACCCTATGGGCTATGAGTAAGCCTGATTTGAATTAGCTATAATTGTCTGAAGTTAATACTGATTAGGGTTTCATTTTTATTAGAATTTTTATCATCAAATCAATTTCGTTTCATTTACCTTCCATAATTTATTTGTTAATCTATGATCGAGGTGCGTTAAACTTAAAAGTGACATTTGGAATTATTGAAGGATACTTATTTGGTAAATATGTGCATTGTTTTAGACATGGGTAGTTTCAATAAGGATACAAATTGGCCTTTTGATGTTGTGTTGCTAAAACCAAATATATTAAGTAACAGAGACCTGACCTCGATTGTGTCCTTGATTGCACATAGAATATGAGAGCAGTATAGAAAGCAAGAGGGGAGGAGAGGGAGCGGATGAAGGATTCGAAAGGGTATAGGGAGATAGGGAAAATGTGACTGTAATAATTTTCCTTGTTTTCGCCTACTGAAATTATCTTTGAACATTTCCTACTGAAATTAATATGACTAAAACATTTTCACTAACTAAAATAAATTTAACAGGAAAATTCAGCTTGCAGTGTATTAAAATTCATAACAAGAACATAGGCTAAGGCAAATGGGAACAACTATGAGGAACAACTATGTTTGTAAGAAGCTGAAGTTGAAGGAAGAGAGGTGGGGCTCTGGTTTTGGTTCTGGCTCTATGCACCTGCTGAGATTTGTTAATATGTGATTATACCTACCAAGCCTTTCAATTTTGTATCTGCACATTTTGATACATCATATACGATGGGCACCGGTTAAATTGGATGGTCTGAGTGAATACTGCTTTATGTAATCCTTATGGTTTCTATGATGTGAGTCATTATTCTTTGTATGATTACTTTTGTTATTTTCTTCTTCTTTATAGTGGGGGTCTCCCATCTAACACAGCTGAATTCAGTAAAAAAATTCCACATTATTTTGTGAAACAACACATACCTCCCTAGCCAACATGACTCAACAATGGAAATAAGCCAAAGTAAAGTAGTGATCAAGCTAGTAATAAGGTGGAAATGTGAAACATAACTCAATTTCGAAAGATAAATTGCACCTCTACACCTTTACCAAAGTGGGTCATGATAATTTATTAGTTAGACTACTCAGACTCAAACTCAAATTCATCGTCCCCCACAATGCACAACCATACACCTCACACAGTATTAATCTACGTAAAAGGGAAAATTAAATATGTATGTACATATGTTAAAATCCACCTAGCATTGTGGACGTATTATAGTATGCGATACAACTTGTACCCACACCCTATCACACAGCTTTGATTAATTCATTTAAGAACTCGTAATTATGGAATCAACATTCTAAGAAGATTTCAAAATTCGAGTAGTATATAAGTAATATATTAGCAAACTTTGTCAAATAAATAGTAACCGAATAAAGCCTTTCACTTAGCCACTACACCGTAGGTATTTGCCAAAACCAAATTATATTATCGTAAACTGATTATATATATAAGCTAGTTTCACAAAGATAATTGAATATTTTTAGAGAAGATTATAGATGCTAACAGCAAATTAATTAAATAAAGCTAAGGATGCACACTTGAACTTAATTGACCAAATAAGAAATATGCAAGTAATATACTCAACTAACTTAATTTAGCTAGCAGTCCCAAAATGACATCACATAATTACAAGTGAGGAACTAAGATAATATATCTCTCAATACGTTTCAAAAAAAGAAAAAAAAAAATATATATATATATATCTCGATAATTTCACTAAGTCAATAACTGGATCATTAGGAAACAAATAAAACCAAATCGAGAAAATACTCGTTAATATATATGGCATATTAACGAGACATGTTAATATGAGGGTTATAGACGTCATTTCGCTTAGTAAAGTAAGGGTCGTTTTGTAATTTTGTTGACCATCATCATTAACAGTCTAACGATCGTTAACCCCCAAATTCATAACTCCTTTCCTCAATCCCGTACTGCAATTTGCCAAATAGTTCGAGCAATTCGCCAAGTAATTCTCCAATTCGCAACACCTGCATTTCTCGGAATTTGTCAAGTAATTCTCCAATTCGCACCACTTGCATTTCTCGGAAATTCAATTGCAAGGTTGAAGATTGGCCGCGAATTTTCGATCGAAATTTACTTAGATATTAAAATTCAATTTCACAATCTACTGTTAATCGAGAATCATCAATTTTCAATTTCTTAAGGTAGTATGTAGCAATTTCAATGGAGGAGGGAAAACTCACAAGAAAACGTAAAATACTTACCCTTTAGGGTTAACAATGCCCTTTCATTTCTCACTTTTTCCTCAGGGTTTCGTAGAATTTGGCGGCGGTGCCGCCGGGAACGACTTCCGAAATGGTGGGTCGGGGTTCGTGTATGTTGTGGTGTTGGGTTGCTGTCTGAGATCTTGGTAAAAATTCTGCCATTGTTATATTGAGAAGGAAGGATGAGGAAGAAGGGAAAACAGATGTTAACCCTTAGCTAACGCCCCAGTTAAGTGGCCACATCACCAGAAAAGTAGAAAATATTAAAATAATAAAACAAGTGCTGATATTTGCGAAAATGCCATCATATTAACATGTTATGTCAATATGTATTATTAATTGGGCACCGCTCATAATGTAATGCACAACCCTTAAGTGGCGGACCCACCCTTAGTCACGGTGGGTCAACATGATCTAGCAAAAAAAAAAAAAAGGCTGAGAGCATGAGCATTGGTGAGGTTACTCACCATTATCCACCTCACTTTCAACTATTTTTTTATTTATTTTTTTTCCAAATCATCTTCCACCTCACCTTCCACTATCATAAGCTACTAGTGTGAGTCACCTTATTTATTTATCTACAATGGTGAGGTTACTCACCATTCTCTCTCCTAACTACCCCATCATTTTCTCTTTCTCACTCTTGTTTTATTTTATATTTTGTAAAACATGTATTAATCTCTATTATTTATTTGTAATTTTTGAACTTACATAATTAATTAAAAAAAGTTAGACATTCTTTAGTGCAATATTAATAGTCATTATAAATAGTACAATATTAATAATCACTTATGTATGTAAATTGAAACAATTTTTTTTTTTCTAATTTTTGAAATAAAAAGTACAAAAATAATACAATATATAAATAACATAGTTTATTTAGCAAAGACATCCATTAAAATTTAAAATACAATATTCATTAACAGCGACTTTTGTCATCTCTTCATTCGTCGCCGAAACGTCCCCATATATGTTCAACCAAGTCATTCTTTAGTGCAATATGGGTCTCCCTATCACGAACATTATTTCTATTTTCCATATAACCATTTAGATTGAGCCTATCCAATCGTCCACTTCTCACAGTAAATGGTTGGTTGTTGTTACTAGTTGATGATTCAGCTACATTTTGGGGTTGGTCATTGATAAATTCAGTTGCATCATAATGCAAATATCCATCTCGCTCATCTTCAACAATCATATTGTGCATGATAATACAAGCCATTACAATTTTCCATAAAATTTCGGTCGACCATGCTAGACTTGGTTGACGTATTATTGCAAATCGAGCTTGTAACACTCCAAAGGCACGTTCAACGTCCTTTCGATAACTCTCTTGCTTCTTGGTAAATAATTTGTGCTTACCAGTTTGTGGATGTTTGATTGCTGGGATAAATGTTGCCCATTCGGATAGATACCGTCTGTAAGATAGTAACCCATATTGTATGTATTTCCGTTGACATTGAAGGTAACCTCTGGAGCTTTTCCCTCACATATATCAGAGAACACCGGTGACCGTTGGAGGACATTTATATCATTACAAGAACCCGGTGTTCCAAAAAAAGCGTGCCATATCCACAAGTCTTGCGAAGCAACAGCCTCCAAGATCACCGTTGATGTTTTACTTCTACCTTGATACATTCCTTTCCATGCACGCGGACAATTTTTCCATTCCCAATGCATGCAATCAATGCTGCCCATCATACCAGGAAATCCACGAGCATAACTTTCACGGAGGAGCCGTTTAGTATCCATAATATTTGCCCTCCTCAAGTACTCTGGTCCAAATTGAGCTACAACCCCTTCAACAAAGTGAGCCAGACCTTCTCTTGCAATACTTGATGCGATTTTAAGATACTCGTCAACTGCATCGGCAGATGTACCGTATGCTAACATTCGAATTGCTGCAGTGCATTTTTGAAGGGGGGGATGCACCTAGTCTTCCGGTGGCATCCGACCTTTGTTGAAAGTAAACATCACTTTCTCTTAGTTGATTAACAATGCGTGTGAACACATTCTTACTCATGCGAAACCGTTGACGAAACATATTAGCAGGGTACAATGGTTGGGGACTAAAGTAATCGTTATATAACTTAATATCAACATATTCTCGATCTCTTGGTACATACCACCTTTGGTACGTAGGTTCAAGAGTGAATGGGACCTGATAAGTTGATGTTACAAAGGGAACAACAGCTGTATTGATCGCTTCCTCGATCAATTCATCTTCTTTTTGCCTTTGGGTAATTGATTCATGCCACTCTACATAGTCGTTCACCATGTAATCAAATAACCCTGAACTAGATGAACTAGAAGAATTTGAATCAGAGTTCATTTTGTAATATTTTTTTGTAAAGAGGAAGAGAGAATTTTGTTTTTTTTTTTTTTTTTTTTTTTTGTTTTTGTAGAAATAATACTTATATTTATGTATTGAAATATGAAGTGTATCCCCTTATTTATAACTTCTAAAATAATTCAAAAAAATGACTATTTTTGATAAGGTTTGTAGATATATGAGATATAATTTTCGATAAGGTTTACAGATTTTCTACATTGGTAATTCGTTGAATGGATAAACAACTCAAAAAGATTACATTTCTGATAAGGTTTGTAGATTTCTTTTGTATGACAATTCAATGTATGGGTACACAAAACAGTAAAAGATGAGATTCTCTGATATTATTGCTTACAGATTTCTTGTCAACATGTGACATTTCAATGTAGCATTGCATGTCGGTCATATTTTACAACATTTCTCATTATTGAGCTAATTTTATATTATTATTATTTACAAGATATAATTTATTGGGTAATAAACAAAGAGCAATTATATTTATTAAAACATTTACTTCAATGCATTAAGAAAAAACAACAAAATATTACAAAGGAAATTGTTAAAGCAACATAAGTAACATACATTACATCAATTAAAACTAGAATAATACACATGTAGTTTGACTACCTTAATTGATAGTTAAACTAGCCTAGAAGATGTGCAAATTCTTGCTTTAATTTTCGATATATTTCTTTTTCTTCTTCAGATAGAATTGGTTTTGCAAGAAGGACATCCTTTGAGCGTTGGTTGGTTAGGAATGTTATAAAATAACATCCTTTGAGCATTTGGATTATAAGGGTTATTTGGATCAAAATGAAAATTACTTTGAAAATTTGGAGAATTGGAAGATTGGTTATTTGGATTATTTTGAGAGGAACCACTTCCGTAATTAGGATTATTAAGATTCATAATCACAAATTATTTTTATAATGAAAAAAAGAAGAGTGAAATTTTAAGGGTGAGAAACTATATCAATATTAGGCTCTATTTATAGATAAAATTATAATTATACCGTTGGTGAAATTATTCTTTGGAAATATGTTTAAATGAAGTGAGAAACTACCGTTGGAGCATTATAGCCATACTAACTGTTAAAAATTAATATAGCCGTTGCATTCTACAGCAAACATCAAACACAAATAGCAAACATCAAACACAACTTGCAATATTCATGACAAGTGTCATGTGATAATTGGACCTAAAAAAAAAATCAGATTCTTTGGTTTAGAAAGTCAGCAACTCACGCTCATACTCAGTGCCGCTTCAAACGTTGCTACCTCATACTGTGTGAGGAGTAAGTAATGAGTCAGATATTTCAATGGTAAGCTAACTCAAAAAAAGTGAGATATAGTTTTGAGGAGGGTAGTGACTCACCGTTGTACATTCTCTGAACAAAGGAATTGAAATTTGAAAGGGGAAAAACAAAACAGACATAATACTCCGTAACATTCTCTTCTCTCTCTTCTACAACCTCAAAGTCACAGATTTCGCCATTCGCTACACTCCTACATCGTTCTTGTGTGCCCTTCGACTCTTATAGGTAAGTTAATTGATTTTTAAGTTTTTAATTTCGTATTATATACTAATTATTGACTTGTTGGGTTGATTTTGTGTTTAATTGAGTTGTTTATGTTATTTAATCTAGTCAATTAGTGTGTATGCTCTTTGAAATTGTTGATTTGCTATTAAATTTATCAAATTAGAGAGTTAGGGTTTCTGATTTTTTTAGGAATTGATAATATTGAATTGCTGATTTTTATTTCTTTGAAATTGATATTATGAATTGGCAATGGGCTAGTAAAATTAATGATTTCATATTTTATCTATGAAATTAGGGGAGTTAAGATTTAAGAACTTAGGGTTTTTGATTTTTGTTTTGGAATTGATTAGTTTGGATAATTGCTTTTCTGATTTTTTGAAATTGATATTAGTAGTGGTCAATTGGATATAGTGATTAGTGATTTTGAATAATTGCCTTGAATCTGTATATGTTCAGTGCTAAGCTCACTATTAGTGTTTTAGCTATACTTTATTAGCAGTCGGTGGTGACCCCAGCACCCGAAAATTCCCGGATCTGCCACCCTTTCCCTGATATTGATGGTAATTGTTTCTGATGATGAATTATTGAAAGTTTTAGGAGCTAAATTAAGTAATTTACTTGAAGTATATGATGCTTTGTTTTGACTTTTGAGCTGTATATGGTTCATAGTCACTTCAATTGAATAAAAAAGTACACTTGCTTTGAATGAATCTTTGGTGTGAGTTGCTTGGTGTGAGTACATTATTAGATGAACAAATAATGTAGCTGTTTTATTTTCAATCTTGCTTTTCTTCCCGCGTTGGAGTCTAACTATATAGTTATTTGTGAATTCAAATACTTAATCTAGTTGAATTTTTTTGTTCATTTTCTTGTATTCTTTTGACCCCAACATATTGATGATTATGCAGTTAATTTATTCATTTCTTGATATGGATTTGGATCTCAAGCAGTATGCTGACAAGTATAACAATGTTTCGATAGAGGAGATTCAGAAAATTAGAGCTGAGAATTATAGTAATGTGTGGTTTGATGCAACAATCAGATCTCTTCATGAGAGGAGGGAGTGGGAAAAGTTTTTTGGCAGACGTGCTCTCCGCACACAGCCCCTTGCTCATATATTGTCAGTAGCTTTCAAATCAAAAGATAGAAGTAGGGATAAGCCGCATGCTATGTATGGTTACATCTATGTTGAGTATTTTGATTCGAAAAATAATGTGGTGTCTGAGTTGTATAAAAGAGAGAGGAGTGAAGCTGAGATTTTAGGAAGTGACGGGTTGTTGACATTAAATGGTCCTGATTACTCATTTTGGCCAAATTATGCATGTATGCCATTGATAAAAAATAAAATAACTCTGAAGTTATTTGATGAGACCGGCAACATAATTGCAAGATCTTTCTTTTTGGATGAAACAAATATTGAAGATGATTATGAACAAGTTAAGTTTATGTCCATTGATTGCGAGTAAGGGTCTATTATTTTTAAGTACATTTGTATTCCATTTGGAGTTCATTGTAGAATAGAAATTAAAGTTTGTAGTAGACAAGGTAAACAACATGATGGTTTGAATGTGAATGGAAGGATTATTGCTCGTTATGCCAATACATATGGGAATTATTCTTCTGAAGATTGTGTTTTGTTTGATAAGCATGACTCCCCTGTTGAGATCAACACTGCCAAACGGTTTCCACTTTCTAGATGTTGGGTGTCATTACCAGCTTATTCTTCTCTTGTTGTGGACCTTAATTTGTATGAATTTAAAACAATGCGAAATATTGTTGATCAATCAGTGGAGTTGTCGGCTGAAGATGGGAGAATGACATCAAGTTCCATCTTGCTGGATGATTTAGCTATTCATGTTCATGTCGCATGGTTCTCGCCTGATGTGGTTGGACAACGGATTGACTCTAAGATTGGATTCCCATCTAGCTTTGAACTCTCGTGGTATGTTGCCTGTTTATCTATGCTTAAAAATTCTTATATGATCTATCTTGCTTATATGTCGATAATATCGTTATTTGCTTGGCAAATATGAAACTCAATAAAATCCATAGTGTATGTTGGTATGTTTACAATTGTCAAATGGTGCAACAATTTTACCCAATGAATGCCTACTTGTAATTGTGACTTTGTTTTTGGGGCTGTGTTTTGCCTTAAATTTATCGGTGTAGGTTAGATTTTACTAGACACCTTTCCCTATATCTAGTATTAAATTTTATAGAATAAATGTGATTCTAAGGCTTAGGCTGTAACATGGATTATTCTGTAATGGTGTATTGTTTTCATTTTTCTAATGCACTAAGTGCTTCTTAGTCGATTCGGCAACTGAGCTTGATTTCGAATTAGATTAATATCGGATGTTAGTTAAGGTTGGTAGAATTCTATTGACAAGTTTATTATTCGATTTTCAATAGAGTTGTAGGCAATTAATAGGTCTTTTAGATATCTTATGGTAATAATATTTGCTTATACTTGCTAAGTTTGAATTTGGAATGTTATATTTTACATAATCTGACTACATATACTGCTGGAATGCTTTAGTTTACTTTATTCTTTAACGGGGATGACTGAGAGATTTGATTTATGTTATTTAATGTGTATGAACAACAATGCTAAATGTTGGGTAATGTATTGATATCAAGTAGTATTTTTTTCTGGTTTTATATAAAGTATAAAATTGATTCCGAGGTTAAATTTATTTGTGAGGTTCTCTAGTTATAATCAATATCCATGGACTATTATACATAGCTTTTGGCTGTTAATTGATATTGGAAGATAGATGAGCTAGTCTTGTTCATGAACTAGTGAAGTATCAAATGGGTCTTATGATTATGTTTAAATGCCAAAATATTGGACTATTTGATTGTGATTATTGAGCAAATTAAGGACTTCGAGCCATTTGGATATAAATATCATGTTCATGTGAATGTATATATTATTTAATATGTTGTTTGAATACAGAATGAATTTTTTTCCTTGGATTTTGCTTGAAAACTTTGGTCAGGAATCTTCGTGCTCATTAGAGTAAGCCATGGGCATCTCCTGCCTTGGAGATTTTCTCTGTCTTTTTTGGTGGAAGAAGGCAAAAGACTGTGCAAATTTTTGGTTCAATTGAGGTTTTATCGGATGATGATGACGGGATTTGTTATATCTTTAACAGAGATAAAAAAGATGCCTTGATATTATCTGAAAATGAGAAATCATTACCTGTATCAGATGGTTCCAGAGTTTTTGATGATTGTAGTTCATTACAAATGAAGTTTAGCATAAAGGATACTGAAGACCGTTTAGCTATTCGAGGCTTAGTGGATTGGGCAGGTTCTGTACTTGACACTTCTTTGTGGTATGAAAAGCAATTGTGTTCTCTTATTCCGGGTCAACAGGGAGGATTTGCAGCAATACACTATTCAATCTTCCAGAAGCTGTTGGTGCAAACATTAAGGTGTTTCTAAATCCTAAAACAGGATGTGGTGATGTTTGTCCTAAGATTTGGGGTAGCCTTATTGCTCAATATAGTTGCTATGACTATACATCGCGCTTTAACAAAGACTACTACCGGATTGTGTTATTCGAGAAGATTCAGGATGATCTAATTCAAGTAAGTGATGATTCGAGAATACCACTTTCAAGATCTATGATTGTTGTTCCATCATATGCCTCTCTTATTGTCAACGTAGATATATTATTTGGCAAATCTGATGAAAACTTTTCATGTGCTACAAAAATTGAAATTGGTGAAGGTTTCAAGATTGTAGAGACAAATAGTTATCTTCTTCGTATTGAGGTCGATTGGTGTGAGATTAAATGATATTTATTGTATTATTTAGGAACTCTTTTGGTCATTAATCTTAGAGTAGAGATTTGGCTAGTGATGTTATGTTAATGTATTACTTAGGAACTTTTTGGTCTTTTGCCTTACTCTTCGTAGAGTAAAGGTTTCCCAAGTGATATTATATTATTGTTCAGTATTATCTAGGAACTCTTGTGGCGTTTGCCTTACTCTTAGCTATTATGTTCTTATATTTATATATAAAAAAAATGCTGTTTTAACTCCATGCACTTGGTTTTGTCTCATTTTCTTTGAGTTACAGGGCCTCCATAATGGTAGGATCCTAGCTTGTTGGCTCAACTATTGTCAATTGAGAGATTTTTTCTGAGAGTTTATTCTTAGTGTTGATCATTGGAAATGCTTAGATAACAATTGTGATTTTTATATAGTTTGCTTGCCCACCATCATCATGTGTCCTTTGTTGAGTAAGATGTGTATTCTGAAGCCTGGTGTATCTTGCTCAAGTGTTACGCTTAAATGTATTACAGTGTTGGATTTTTTGAGGCATGGTCAGGTTTGATAAGAGTTGTCTAATATTGTCATGGCTGGTACCTTAATAAACTTATATAGTGATGAATTACATATTCTACCTGAAGTGCATCATAGGGCAAATTGGGAATTTTGGTTGCTCTGTTTGATAGCATGTTAAAAAAAAAAAAAAAAAAAAAAAAACAGGATTTAGGTTTTATTTAGTCTACACTTAACAACGTTAAAATGCTAATAATGCCTTTTAATATGTTGAAAATTTCACTTAACATGTTGAAACGTTTTCCCATTTGGTATTTGGATGAAACCTTTGTAGGGGAAAACTCATGAAAAAGTTTTCCTGAGCTATCTGACAAAAGGTGGGAATCTGCAAGTATTTCTTCAACTTCATAGACAAGCTCTTACAAATCAGCTAGAGTGCATTTCAGAAGCTCGTTTTTCCTTTTAAGCCTCTCTGCGTCCTCGTAGAAGCTTTTCATGTATAGGAGATCGGTTTGTACCTTCTGAAACTGATCCCTGTAACCAGTAGAATATTACCTTCCTTGACAAGGACTTTGAAGAGTCTTTCCAAACATACATTCACTTCTCTCCTGATTAAACAGCAATGGCATTTCAGAATTGCAAGTCACAGAACGAAAAGAGAAAAGTGTGACATAATAAAAGAGCTCTCTGCTTGGATTACCTTGCTCTTGATTAGCACAAGCCTGCTCACTTAAATCATTCATGATAACTTCAGGTTGTTGGAATGTAGATGGGTGACCTTAAGCAGTGTCATCTCGCTCATCATGCTGCTTTGTGAGATGTTAGGAATTCTCAAGTTTGGGGGATATTTTTGGGGATTAGGTGTATTTGATTCGTCTTTCTAATGGTGGAACTGAGCTTGTATGTGAAGGATTGTTCTCTCACCCAAATGAGATCTGGGACCTTGCTTCTTGTCCTTTTGATCAGCGTATCTTCTATACCGTCTTTTTTAATGGTAATTTATTGACTATTTTATTGCTTTCTTTGCGTTTCGATTTATTTGATTGAAGTTGGACTTGTAGAAAATGCTACTTTAGTTGATGTCTTTGTGCACAATTGGCTGATATATTGGAATGTGATTGTTGATGATTGTCATTTGTCAAAACTACTTTTTCACTTGGTTCAGGTGTATTTTCATTTTTATCTGAATTCAGAACTTGAAATGTCGTTTAATGTGGGCTGGTGAAGAGAGCGAAAAGGAATACCGTTTGTGTCAAGATATTCTTTTATTGCGGAGAAATTGCATGGTGTTTCCTAGGAATGCATTGGTGCATACTTACAAAACTAGATTTAAGCATCCTCCTGAATGATTACATCTTATCTAATAAAAGTTTCTGATATAATTCAAAATTTCCAGTTCAAAGTGTTAAGATCACCCGTAAAAAAAAAAAAAAAAAAAAACATTGAGTCAATTAGTGAAACACGCTTTTGTTCAACTAAGGTACATTGTAATGATGATGTTGCCTGTTTAATGCATACCTGCATACCTATCCATCAGCAAGTCAGCTCCAGTTTTTCGAAAAAACTATGAAAACTTAATCTGTTTGGTTTATCTACTATCTATGCTCATTTTTATTCCATGCACATATTTGTTTATTCACCATTATATAATTTAAATCACGAACCAAACCAAGGAGACCAGAAAAACTTTAAATAATAAGCCTTAATGATGAAAGACTCCGCTTGATTGGAATCTTCTTCTAACACGAACCTCATAATAACATGTCCTTCTGTCCCAGAGCATGTGTAATTTATGTAATATAAGATTGCATTATTCGGCTTCTAAATTTTAATGGTGGAGAGAATTGGATACTTCCTGCTAATGATTATAACAAATACCCGCGACCAAGTTACTAAAATATCTTTTCCCTCTAAATTTTCTATCTTGTTACTTACCATTTTTCCCATTTATGTAAAGGTGAATCATATGGAGCAGCCATATGGCAGATTCCTGAATTGTATGGCCAGTTAAATTCGCCTGGCCATACTTATACTGTATATTTAACAACAATCTATTGTAACAAAAATAAATTTTATTTATTTTAATTATTTGCTCCTACATAAAACCTATAGCTATAATTAACAACAATCTATTATAACAACAATCAAAGAGTCGAATAGAAAGATCAAGGAGGAAAGAAGAGCGTTATTTTTGTTTTCTCTGGTTAGTCGTTTGAGACTTGAGCTTTTTTGTATTTTTTTAATTTTGTTTTTAATTTTTTTACTGGGTCACGTGACCCACCATGACCTAAGGGCTAAGGTGGGTCCACCACCAAATAAATATAAGTATATAATAAACATATCAATGCAATTATGCAAAGTCTTAAACTCTTGATTATATAATCATGTTAGGTAAACCAAAGTCAAAGTTTGACCTAATCTATCTATATTTATCTATTAAAAAGCATTCCTAAGAATGTCTATTTATATTAATTAATTAATAATCTATTAAAAGGCGTTCCTAAGAACGTATGTACCGATGTACGCCACATTGATCCCCTCATTTCGCCACACACTTACTCAACTCCTTATTATGCCACGTCAACCACTCAACTCCTCAATATGTCACGTCATCTAAACAACCAACAATTTTCCATGTTGTCTCAACTATATTGAAATATATATATATATATATATATATATATATATATATATATATATATATATATATAGATGAAAGGGTTCGTACACTTGACATCTTAGACGAAAGGTTATTGTTTAACCATCTAAGCTAGCACTATCAAAACGGTTTGACAGTTCGGTTTCGGTTCGGTTTGAAATCGGGTCGGTTTGGAATCGGTTTAATTGTCTCACGGGTCGGTTTTGGTTCAGTTGAAATAGTTATCGGTTAGATTCGGTTTCGGTTTATTCTTAAGCGGTTTTAATTCGGTTTGGGTTGTAAACAGTCCGGGTAGTAAACGGTTCGGTGCAGACGGGTTGCGGTTTGTTAACGGTGCGGTGTAAACGGATATTATCACGGTTCAAACAGTTTCGGGTTGGAAACGGTTTCGGGTTAGAAACAGTTCGGTTCTTTTTTGGTTCAGTTTATAACTGGTTCGGTTCTTTTTCGGTTCAGTTTATAACTGGTTCGGTTGTTTTTCGGTTCAGTTTATAACTGGTTCGGTTCTTCGATGGTTTAACCACTTTAACGTTATTCATATCGGTTCCATTTCAAGTTTACTAAATCATAGTTCGGGTCGGTTTTCGGTTTCAAAAAATAAATTGTTTATCGAGTTGTTTGGATTCGGGCAGTTAAATGGTTTTGTTTTGAAATTTGATAGTACTTGCTAACCTTTTGCGTTCACAAGTTTTACATAAAGTCGGCAAGTCGCGAATCATTTCATATTTAGGCATCATATTATAAACAAATTCTCATTGATTTTATAAATACATATTATGTTCTGTTTCAAGTTTAGTCATACTGATCTTACTAGTTTATTACGAAGTAGATTATAAGAGTTAGTGTATTAATGTATTATTGTTTTACAATTAGGTTATTATATGCTTCTTATTTAATCATTTATATACTACGCGTCTACGCATAGTATCATAATCATGATTTGATGAGTTCTTGTGAAATGGAAATTTGCAATTTGGTAATTCGATACTATTAGTCAACAAGACTGATAATTATGACTCGTTTATCATTATATATTTTCGTGAAATTATGAAGATATTACAAAGTGCTTTGATTTGAATAATGAAAGAAAACACTAATGACTAATTAACAAGGTAATATTGATTAGTTCAATTGATCATATATTCATATGTACACATTATTAACACATGGCATCTAACCATCTCATAGTTAAATATTCGTATCATCGTTATTCGTATGTATTAGTACAAAGTTATAGACTCATTAGTGATCTTTTTAAATTTATCTATTTATAAATTTTATTAATATAACGTTTTTATAATTTTTACGTGTATGAAAATAAAGATATACTAGTAGATGTGTTAATACATGTCTTGGGCACTGATCCCGATCAAATGGGGCAAAAAAATACTAAAGAATTGAGGGAATAATATTTTTGTAGATGAATGTACGACACACAAACACACACGGATCACCACTCTCAATCATAGATTAAAAAATCAAGGTTAGATTCTTTCTCCCACAACACACACGGATCACCACTCTCAACCATAGATTAAAAAAATGAATGGTTAGATTCTTTCTCCCACAACACACACAGATCACCAATCTGAACCATAGATTAAAAAATCAATGGTTAGATTTACATGAAACCCTTTTGAAACCCTTTCACTCTCACTCTCACTTTACCACTCTCACTGTACCACACACGGCGCCTCTCATTCTCACGCCACCTCTCATCGCCTCTCCGTCTCACGGCGCCTCTCGTTCTCATCGGTGTTTGATGCCCTAAATCTCCAAATTCAGGTAACCACTCTCTCTTTCTCGATTTTAATTGATATTTTTTGTTGGTATGAATTGGTTTTTTTTTTTTTAATTATTTATATTTTGTATATGTATTTCTTGTAATGCATGGCAATTGAAAATGGAATATGGTTTGCTGAGGACTGAGGTATAATCACTGCATAGTTGCTATGTGTTTTTTTTTGCTATTGAATTACTAATGTTCTTTGCTGATGGAATATTCTTTGCTGATTTTAATGTTCTTTGCTGATGGAAAATGGAATATGTTTTTTTGCCCGGGGTAGGGAACAATTTCATCAGGTTTTTTATGTTGCAAGAACTGATAAACATTGAAAGTCTGCTTTGTATTTTTGGATTTGATATTCTGGGGTGAATTGGTGATCCTTAGTGTATCTTTGTGGCATATATCCATATGGGATTTCTACGGTGAAAGGAATTGATGTTAGCTTTCAATGATGCAAACAAGTATTTTTCAATGTTAGCTCTTCTGTTCTGCTGCTGCTGTTCTGCTGTGATTGCTCTGTGCTGCTACTGCTTTGTTGATCTGCTGCTACTGTGTTGCTGTTCTGCTGCTACTGCTTTGCTGTTCTGCTGCTACTGCTCTGCTGTTCTGCTGGATCTGCTATTCTGCTGCCTGCTTCAGCTGCTGCCTGCTGTTCATCTGCCTGCTCAAGGCTGTAATGTTGTTGATCATGTTATGTTTAAGTAGTTCTGTTAAAACTTGTTTAATTTAAGTTTGTATGGATTGATTGGTTTGATTTGATACTTTGTTAGTTTGTTGTTTAAACTGAAAACTTAAGTTTGTATGATTTGGATTGGTTTGTACTTTGTATGAATTGGACTAAATTTGTTTACTGTTATTTTGTTAATTTGCACTTGCTGTGTTAGTGACTTAGTGTGTTGATTAATGAGGCCCAATTTGCAGATTATTGGCCCAAATAAAAGAGGCCCAAAAAATTCGGTTTGGTTCGGGCTTTTTTATTGTGAAACCAAAATAAATATGGAGTTAGAATTCTTCTATTGATTTAATGAAAAGCTTTTTTTTTCCATTGAATCCATGTCTAACAGTTTGAGACACTTGAATTTGTCCTGTCCAAGTTCCAAAATTTCCATCTTTGACTGTTCTTGAGAAACCGGTAGTCTTTAGGTTTAATGATAAGTTTGGAATATTGTGTGTGGCTCTTTAGAAAAATGGATAAGTTTGGAATATATGCTAAATATATTCTAAGATTTCTAATATTTAATCCATTTAATTATATAAAAAAGTTTGTACTATTCAAAATAAAAAAAAAAAGTTTGTAAACGGTTCGATTTAGAAGCGATTTGGTTCATAAACGGTTCGGTTTATAACCAGTTCGGTTTACAATCAGTTCGGTTTTTAAATGGTTCGGTGCAAACGGGTAGCAGTTTGCTAACGGTTTGGTGTAAACGGTTTTTTTGCTAGTTTAAACGGTTTCGGGTTGGAACCGGTTTCGTGTTAGATACGATTCGGTTCTTTTTCGGTTCGGTTTTCTTTCAGTTCGGTTTATATTTGGTTCGGTTTGTTAACGGGTTCGGTTCTTATACGGTTTACATTATTCGGGTCGATTTGGTTTCGGGTTTACTAAAATACGATTCGGGTCGATTTTCGGTTTCAAAAAAATTGGTTTTTAATCAGTTCGGTTCTCATTTGGGTCGGTCGATTTCGAGCAGTTAAACGGTTTCGGTTTGAAATTTGACAGCACTAATCTAAGCTAATTGACAATTATGCTTTAACTTTGTCACATTGATCCCCTCATTTCGCCACATCACTTACTCAACTCCTTATTATGCCACGTCAACCACTCAACTCCTCAATATGTCACGTCATCCAAACAACCAACAATTTTCCATGTTGTCTCAACTATATTGAAAAAAAATATATATAGATGAAAGGATTTGTACACTTGACATCTTAGACGAAAGGTTATTGTTTAACCATCTGAGCTAATTGACAATTATGCTTTAACTTTGCACAATAAATAACTGGAAAACATAGGTAAGAAGTATATTATGTGCATTAGCAATTTAGCAATTTAGCATTATGGATTCTAATCAATAACTATATAAACAATTATTTAATTAGGTAAAAAATATGAATATTTTCTTATAGTAGAATGTATATGTTTTTTTATAGCTATAAATATTTGTGTTAAAGATATGTCAAATATTTTTTATTTTAAGTAATTTTATTGTATAAGATTGCGAAATTATTTTTGTATAAGATTTGTTTATTTAATAACATTTTATTTTGCAAAACAAAAAAATAAAAAAATAATATTAAAAAAAAAAAAACTAAGGACACTCTAGGAGATGACACGTGTCATTATCGGTGTGTCTTTTAGTATATAGTTGTTGATGATTAACTAGATGAAGTCCGTGCAATGCACGCTTTGTTAGTGTTTTGAAAACAATTATTTTAATTAATGTGCTAAAATTCGTTATATATATTTAGATAAAATTCCTAATATCAAAAGATAATATTTTATATTTAATTAATTTAAATTAAAAAATCTCATTCGCCAATTTTGCTTACGTGACATTTGAATTAATTAATTGTAAAAGATTTTAATAATCTTTTATTTAATTGATTGCATTTTAAATATATAATCATACATGGCGCGCTAAGAAAATTAGATCTCACGTGGCTTCTAATCATATATGTGTGATGTGTGTATATATATGTGTGTGTGTGTGTGTATATATATATATATGTGTGTATATATATATATATACACACACACATATATACACACACATATATATATATATATATATATATATATATATATATATATATATATATATATATATATATATATATATATATATATATATATATATTAGATTATTGTAGGGCTAATAAAAATAAATGTTGTTAATTCTCTATAACCAGTGATTTGTTATAAGAATACCTTGTAGTGGAATTATGGGTTCTAATCAATAACTATATATTAGTTATTTTATTAGGGAAAAATTATGAATATTTTCTTTTAGTGGAATGTATATCTTTTTTTATTTTACAGCTAAAAATATTTGTGTTAAAGATATGTCAAATCTTTTTTATTTAAAATAATTTATTGTATAAGATAGTAATAAAAAAAGAACAAACCAGAAGATGACATATGTCATTGGTGGTGTGTCTTTTAGTATATAGTTATTGATTGATTTAATCTCAAACAAGTCAAAGCGTCTATATTTACAATTGTCAATAATAAGAAATATTTACTATTGTAAAAAATAAAAAATTTATTTTGCATGAACTTATCTAAACTTACGTGCCTCAAATGTCAAACGGTGTCTACATTCTTGTTCGACAAAACTTATCACTTTCATTTCACAAGTAGATTTATGGAAGCAAAAACTACTTGTCAACTAGTAGCTTGTAGTAAAGGTTGGCAGTCAAAGCACTAGATGTTTATGTTACTAGTATTTGGTGAAAAAAGTTGTTGGACAACAGATCTTGTGTAACGGCTAAGACAAATCAAGATCTTGTGTATTCCCCTATCCCTCGCTTTGACAAAGCCGAATCGCCCAATTGCATTGAAAGAAGATCCAGTGTGACGAGAACTCATCCAATGAGGTTTTGTTCTCTCAAGTTACACAGTCTATTGCTCTCAACAGTACTTCATTGGTCATACCCTCAATGATGACTATCAGTCCCTACTGATTGAGTTCAAACCTTCTTTTCATAGATCAAGAGTTCCGACCCCACTATGATCCCTTAGCTTGGTACAAGGTCGAAAAGAATGCTTTGCATTCCAAGTGGTTTCATGCCTATAAGGCGCTATCTATGCTACTAAAGTCGGTAAAGGAAATGAATGAAATCAGCTTCTTCAATTCGCATGTGGTAAGCCAAATCCTTTTCTCTTTATTATTTTTAAGCTGCTTTTAGTTCTTCCTTTATAAAGTTAAGGCAAATTCCCGAGGAATATGACATGGCCTTTCAGCCCTTCTTACTATAATTTCCGTGGTAGGGTGTTTTAGTTAGCTAGTAAAAGGCTTTAGGAAAAGGCATAATTGTTCTTGTCGGAAGGGCTGGGCTGTAGATAAGATTTTGTTATTTATTCTCCTGTCATATGTAATAGTAGTTGATTAGGGGATTTTGCTCCCACCAATCGGAATGCGCCACGTGGGCCAATCAGGTCCTGCCAAGTGTCCCCCAGTTGGAACTGTCAGGGCTTGCCACGTGACACGCGCTTATTCGTCCACCTTGGACCTATTATGTCATGACATGTGGCATACTCCATGCCTAATGGAGAAACCGACCACCCAGGCCCAACTTCCGAGGGAAGCCCAATCAGCCCTAGGTTAACCTAAACCTAGGATGGGCACGTTTCCCAAGGTTATAAATACCTCCCTTAATCCTCATTAAGGGGGATTACGAAAAAACACATTAATTACACACAGTAATAACCGGCTGATCTCGCTAACAAAGCAAATTACCTACATTAAACACTCTCACCTAGAGAGACCCAATCACTTTAATTTCCGCATTAATTACTCCTTAATCAAGTACTAACTTGACCGTTGGAGGCGGAGCTCCCACCACCAGGAGTCTCCGTTATTTTGCAGGTACAGGCGTCCGGTTCCAGTCTCGGAATTGTAACTCTCCCGCAGCACATCAGAAAACCCCGAAACATTTGGCGCCGTCTGTGGGGAGAGTACTTCTGAGATGGCATCCAAGTCTGTACCGACTCCTGAAGAGAGGCGTCCCCTAGACGACCCTCAAGTTTAGTCGGACCATGATACCGAGAGTGAATTTGAAGTTGAAGCTCACACAGCTTCAGACGGGACCCTAAGGGCCCGACGTACCCGTCATACCGAAAGGAGGGAACGGGAACATCTTCAAACTGGAAGTGAGCCAGCAGGCGCACCGCCTGTTCGGCAACAGCCGACTGATGGGTCTGCTCCCATCACAAGGAACGAACTCATGACCTTCATGAGGAACTTCAAGGGAGAGATTCAAGAGTTGATCAACAAGAAGCCGCCTGCTCCAGTCAAGGAGCAGTCGGCTAAGAAACCCTCCACTTCACTGAAGAGGAAGCCAGTTCAAGGGCGAGAGGCGACTCCTCATCCTAAATCTAGGAAGCGGGAGCCACCTGCCCTTGATTTCACAAAATTCCGTTTTCCTACAGGAAATAGGAAACCTGTTCGTCATATTCAGGCGGACGGGTCGAAGCAAACATTCACAGACGCTCGGCTACTGCTAGAGCAGAAGAAGAGTGACCGATTGTCAGAGTCGGCCTCTACTTCAAACTTTCAAGACAGTCTGCGAAATGCCTCGATGAGGCATACTCAGTCGTATCATGAGAGTCAGTCAGGCGGTATCATCAAAACGACCCTTGATTTAGGAACAATTCAGCAGGGCGAGAAGGAGGGGCTTCGTTCTTACATCAGGCGGTTTAACCTGATGAGAATACAGATTCAAGGGTTACCGGATGAGGTAGCCTATACTGACTTTTTCAGAGGTCTCAAAGACGGGTCTACCTTCAAATTTGATTTGGTTCGAAAGAGGGTGGCGACTCTTCAAGAGGCCTTGATTGAAGCAGAAGCCTATATACAGGCGACTGATCTTTGTACGATAAAACAGTCGGACGGGAAAAGGTTCGACAAAAGAGAAGGACGACAGAAACAGTCGTCAAACAAAGATGAGAAGAGAAAAGTGGTCTGGGCGGCTGATTCCTCTAAACAGCCTGCCCAGAAAAAGAATTCAAACCATACTCCCCAAAGTATGCGTTTAACAAAGATAACCAGTTTATCCTAAAAGAAATCAAGGGACGGATCTCAATTGAGAAGCCGGTCCCCATGAAGGGTTCTGCAAACAACCGGAATCAAGATAAAATCTGTGCTTATC